ATGATAGATGGATGGATGAATGGATGTAAGCTGGATGGAAAGATGGAAAGACGGATGATAGATGGACAAACGGATGGATGGGTGGATGGATGGATGAAAGTTGGATAGACAGACAGATGATAGGTAATAGATGGATGGATGTATGGATGGATGTAAGTTGGATGGAAAGATGGAAAGACAGATGATAATGGACAAATGGATGGATGGATGAAAGTTGGATGGACAGACAGATGATGGTAATAGATGGATGGATGGATGGATGGATGAAAGTTGGATGGACAGATGGACAGACAAATGATAGATGATGGATGGATGGATGAATGAAGGTTGGATGGACAGACAGATAGATGATAGATGGATGGATGAATGAAAGTTGGATGGACAGATGAGCAGACAGATGATGGATGGACAGACAGGTGGCTGGAAGATAAAAATATGGATGAAAAAATGAACAAATGGGTGAACAGATTGATAGATGATCAGATGGATGCGTAGATGGATGGATAAACAGATGGATGAACAGTTGGATGTACAGATAGATGATGGATGGATAGATGGATGGATGAATGAATCATTGGATGGACAGATGGACAGACAGATGATGAATGATAGAGGGACAGATGATTATGGATGGATGGATGGATAATGGATGAACAGATAGATGGTTGGATAAACAGATGGATGACTAAAAAAAAACCTAATAAACAAATTTCTTTGTCGTACTAAAAATGTTCTGTGAAATTCCCAGTTTGTTAAATTTTGTTGAATTATTTCTATTTCATGAAAAACTTAATGCATTCCAAAAGTTGTTCCCGGGACTGGAGCAAATCTGAGGTGGGAACACATTTTAACACATGAAGACCAGTTTATTGGCAGGAAAACCCATTATTAAATCATGTTCTTTCCAGTATTCCAGGAAACATCTTGGGCTTGGCAGATCTGGATTAGAGTTATTTAACCAGGACTCTGTGGAGATCAAATTCCTACAGAATCTTCATCTTCTCAGTCCGAAGTTCAGATCAGCAGCTGTGAGTCAAAGGCGACTCTTTGGACATTTTTTTTCAAAGAGGAAGCTTTAAACAACCTAAACTCAGCAGAACTGCCTCCTCCGAACAGACACGCATGACGCTGATCTGAACAAACACAAACCAGGTGCTGCTGAGATCAACTCCAGGAAACAACCAGAGTCTTTTCTTTCTCCTCGAAAAAGATCTGAATCTTTACCAAGATAATTAGCATCGCAACGTCAACGAACGCCTCTAAAAAGACTCGTCATTTCACCTCAAAATCGAACCAGGCGAGTTATTTTTTAATCCAACAGTTTGGGCTGAAACGTGGTAACCATGGCGGCCATGTGTAGCTCCTCCCCCACCTCTCCCTGTGGCCGGCTGGTGTTCGTCGCACACCTCGCTCTGCCCTGACCACAAACCCATTTTAAAAGTTAATGGCCTGTGAAACGACCCACAGATCCGCCCGCCGCCGCCACCGTCACTGCCACTGCAGCCGGCAGCGCCTGGAGGCGAAGGACGAGCAAGTTAATGAGAGCGCCGCTGTCCTTCAGGAGCCGCAAGCAGAGTTTCCAGCAGATCACGGAGGAACGTGAAACTTAATGTGGTAATCAACCTGCTTCTGAAACAAAAACTGGGATTATTTCAAATGCTCCAGATTAACTGGTGACTGTTTCTGGTTTTAATCTTGTAGTATTCAAACAGCTTGGTTAAAAATGATACTGTTCAGAGTTTTTTTTTGTAGGTTTCGCCAATTCAAACTTTTGAGTTTTATTAATTATTAACCTTTATTTAACCAGGCAAATCCTGCTGAGATCATACATCTCTATTGCAAGGGAGGCCTGGGCCTGAAGGCAGACTAACATGCGTGTTTTTGAACTGTGGGAAGAAATGGAAATACCTGCAGAAAACCCGTGCAAACACCAAAACAAACCCCACACAGGAAAACCCCAGGTCCAACTGGGGATTAAACCCAGGACCGTTTTGCTGTGAGGCAATTGTACTAACCACTAATCCATCATGCTGCCTGATTTTTTATTTTTTTAATTGCAAAACATTTCTAAAGTCAAACAGACTGAAAATAAAAACTAACAACAAAACCTTCAGGAATGAATGAATGAATGAGATTTGGTGATGACACCACCATAACAAACTAAAACTGATAACAATGCACCATACTAGGGATGCACGATATTGGATTTTTGGCCGATATGCCGATACATTAAAACTTATTTGGCCGATAACCGATACCAATACCGATATTTTTCCCCCTAAACCTACTTGCAGAGACCATATAGCTTTTTCTGCTGTGGAATTAAAATACATTATTCTGCATGATCTTTGTCATTCTGGCCTGCTACCAAATGCAGACATCAAAAAGGGGGCTGAAAATGATGCAGCACTTCAACTTGGATTATGTCTAATGTCAAATTTACTCATGACATTTACTCCCTCTAACAATGACAACACTCGAACAGTGCAAATTTGTAAACTTTCACAAATCTAAACTCAATGGTGCGCGTGACGTCATACCACCATCCACAAATGTCAGATAAATCTCTACCATGCAAAGAAGACGCATGTGTGGACATCGTCCAGTTTGGACCAAAAATAATTAAAAATGATGAGGAAAAAAAAAAGGAAAACTGTTCTGTGGTCAGACAAATTCAAATTAGAATTTTTTTTTGGGGGGGGGGGGGGAAACATTGACGCCGCTTCCTCCATGTAAGAAGCAAGATGGCGCACATGGCAGACGTTTTCTCACTCTGCTTTTGAATGTCAGCTTTTATTTCTTTTTTGTGTTTTCCCATGTGCTTTTCGCTATTTCAGCCGTGTAGAAATGCCGTGCACTGCTAACAAGCAACAGGCAAGACACTGCTGGATATCGCCAACTCAGTCATTCTGAATTTATTGGTTTTATACCACTCAAGCTGAAACTCATTGTTCATTCCTGCAGCCACCATCAACAACCCAAACCCACCCCCAGGAAGGCTCTGCAGTACCAGGCTATAATGTGGATGCTGACCCCAAGAGAGCACTCTGGAGACTGCGACGACGAGGCGAGAAAAGGAGGGCTTCACGCAAGGTTAAAAAGCTTGGGCCAACTGACCATCGCTACCCATCTTTTTTGCAAGTGAACATAAGGTTTATGGAAAACAAACTGTACAAACAGAGCGAGGATCACAGCACAGCAGGAAATAAGAGAGTGCTGCGTTCTGATTTTCACAGAGACCTGGCTTTCTGACAATGTCCCGGAGTCCTCCGTTCAGCTGCAGACTCCCCGGCTCAGTCCACAAACATTGGACTGACGCCTCAGGCAACACCAACGGAGGAGATGTGTGTATGTGTGCTTCTTAACAGCTTGGTGGTGTGGAGATGTATAAACTTTGACAAACACTGTTTGTTGTCCAGATGTGGAGTTGTATTGACATTATCCATCGCTGGAATTCACTGCTGGATGCTGCTTACGTCCTCTCATGAGCCAACTTTGCGGCAGCTTTCGGCAAACTCCGTGTGGCAGACGAGACACCCTTATGCTGTTTGTACTGCGGCTGTGACTTTAGCCAGTGCAATGGAGGGATTTTCCATAAATAATACCAACAATCAGACAACCCCACCTGTAACAAGAACACACTGGACCATGTCTACAGCAACATACGTGATGTGAACTGGACTGTGTCTTCCCCAACTTTGAACGCTTGGACCACTTTATTTCGGTTCCCAGCCTACAGACAAAAACTGAAACAAACATTGTTTTTTTTTTACAAAACAAGCTAAATTCTGAACCTCAAAAACTGAAGAGCATCCTGCAGGACTGTTCTGAGCAGACAAACTGGCATGTGTTTAGAACTGCATCCACTCTGGAGAAGTCTTCTGTCAGCGATCAGGACTATGCTGAGCCTGACTGTACATCTGCTTGTGCATGGACATTATTCCCAGCGTACAATCCAAAAGTTAGGTTAGCTTCTCTCCACTGGCTCCCTGTCAAATTCAGAATTGAATTCAAAATCTTACTTCTAACCTACAAAGCCCTCAACAACCTAGCTCCATATTACCGATCTTATTGTTCCATATTTTCAGAGCACATCGCTCTCAAACTGCAGGTTTACTTGCGGTTCCTAGAGTTTCCAAAAGCAGAATTTGGGGGGGGGGGGGGGGATCTTTCAGTTATCAGGCTCCTCTCTTGTGGAGCCAACTTTCAGTTTCTGTCCGTAAGGCTGACACATTATCCAGTTTTAAGACTGGGCTGAAGACTTTCCTTTTTGATAAATCCTATAGTTAGGGTTGGCTTGTTATGCTGCTATAGGCTTAGACTACTGGAGGACAAATTGACCTTATTTCCTTAAATTAATTGATACAATTGAATAGTTTTCATTTGGTATTATTTCTATCTTAACGTGATTCTTGACCAGCCATTGTGTGTCTGTTCCTCCTTCCTGTTCCTACCAAACCCAGCCGGTTGAAGCAGATGGCCTCTTGTCCTGAGCTTGGTTCTGTTAAAGGTTTTTTCCTCATGAGGGAGTTTTTCTTTTCTACTGTCGCCTTCATGCTTGCTCAAGATGAGAGTCTGTGATGAAGTTAAATTCAAAGCAGTCTGCTCCTCAAATAAATAGTGTTAACTTACTTTTTATGTATATGAATGTTTCTGTTCAGTGCCCTGAGATGACTTCTGTTGTGACTTGGCGCTATATAAAAAATAATAAACTGAATTGAATTGAAAAGTTCCATAACCAGAAGCCCTGGATTAATAGTCAGGTACGCCACATGCTGCTTGGTCTCATACATATTAATCAGGCAATGAAACATAGTAGAAATCAGTGCAATACAGACCAAGAAAAGCTATCAGAGCAGCCAAGAGGCAGTACAGAAAGAAACTGGATAGCTTCTACTCTGCTGCTGACTGCAATACAGCATCTATTCCTGTAAACTCTGCAGCGGTAGATTAATCTAAGAAGGTCCAGGAGTGTTGAACAGCTAGAATCCACCATCAGTCAAGAATGGAACAACATTACTGCAAACAACCAGTCCCCTCAGTTCCTAGACATTTAAAACTGGTATCAAGGATGGAAATACGATGGATCTGGAACAACTTTAAGGAGACTTGTTGATACCATCCAATTCAAAATTAACTTACTTTTTGTTAAAAATTGTGCAATTTCCAAGTTTCAACATTTGATATGTTTACTATGTTCCACAAAACCACAGAGTATTCAAAGTATTTCCAATTTACCACTGAGAAACCTTTTTTTATTATTATTAAATAGTTGACTATTGTTGGACAGTTTGTTGCAGACTGGAAAATCTTACCAATCTTTACTTTTAATACCATGTTCCATTGTGAATAAAATAAGGGTTTATAAGGTTTGCAAATCCTGACATTTGGTTTTTATCTACACAACATCCCAACTTTTTCAGATTTAGGTTGTATGAGATCGAACTTACGGAAGACTATCTGCGAGTCAAAAACAACAAACAACAACAATACCATTAAGTCTAAACTTTTGTTTTAACCTTCATAAATACAAACTGTGACCTTATAAAACAATGTTTCCTAGTCTTGCCATCAGTCTCTAAGTTTAAATTCTGGATGTAAAACCAGATTAAAATAAATACCCTTTATGTGTTAAATGATCATAGTGAAGTCTATTTCCTTTCAGAGAGTTAAATGAATTAATGAACAGCGAGTTAAAAAAAAAAGTCAATATCAGAAAATGAAACCAAACAGGCCAGAGCTTTGGAATGATCACTACAGAGAAAATTAGATTTGCTTTCCCCAGTTTGTTAAGAATTTACTGATCAATGAAGGAACAAAACAATTAAAAAAAAATCTTACCTGTAGAGCTCTTTGGTCTTGGTCCAGTTCGCCAACATCTGTGCAAATCTCTGAGGTCCCATATTTAAACGAATCGCCCACATAGTCAGACAAATTGGTGATGCTGTTCTTCAGGCCTGACTGCTGGTTCTTACTACAACCAGGCTCTTCACGTGGGTCATCCTGAACATTAGAGTCTGTCTGTTCCTTTCCACAGCTGGTATTGGCTAGGATAGTTTCATCATCACTGTTAACTTCTGGGATTACATTTCCATGGACCTTGTTAACACTTTCATTAGTAGGTAAAATGTTCTGGCAGGTTTGACCAAGAGTAAAACTGTTTTCATATGTATGGACCCCAAGGTTTCTATTTGCACATGATAGGTGGCTCTTTGAGAGGGAACTTTCACTGGTAGGATTACTAAAGTCTCTTCCAAATGCAGGACCTCTCAGATTGGCATCTGTCCACACAGCATTGCTGTTTCCACCATTAGTAATCTGGAGACTGTTGTTAGTTGAACATGGATCCTCTAAGTTTCCATTTCCACAAGTTGAACAATTGAAAAATTTTGGTTCACAAGTTGACATACTTAAATTGATATTTCTGCAGCATGGTGCATCAGCATTTATGTTTGGGCTGGTACATGCGGGGTCTCTGGGTTCAGTGTTGGGACATAATAGAGGAGGCCTGGAATTCATGTCTCCTCCAAGTGGAACTTTAGAATTAAAACTTCTGCAGGACAAGATCTGAGGACTGAAATCTTTACATGCTACTGACATAGCGCTGTGAACTGGATTCTCTGTAGGAGGACTGGCTTCGTAAAATGAACTCTTTGGACTCGTGACTGTATATTTTAATCCTATATTGTTGTTAACATCACTGGAGCTACTTTTCTGGCCAACGGGAACTAATGAATTTCCATTTGTAGAAGGGCTTTGATGAGATTTGTTAAGTTCATTGTCTGAAGCATTTGTTTTAATTTCATCCGTGGCACCATTTCCATCACAAGTCAAGTCTCCAGAGGTTCTAGTTTTATGTTTTCTAGTAAAGTACCATGGAGAAGTTCGGGCACATTGCATTGTCTGCTCCTCTGGGATGTTTGGGAATGGACTCAGTGGGTCTTCCGAGACCTCTTGGCTAGTAGGAGAAAGTGATCTTGAGGTGTAATTTGTAGAGTGGGGCAATAAGCTCAGTGTTTGTTCTGCCCTTTGGCTCAGCCAAAGGGGTTTTAGAGGCAATGGGCCTTTGTTTTGGTTATGATCATCTCCACTGATGCCTTGTGAAGCTTCTGAGGTGCAGCTGAGACTGTTGCTGGAAAAATCTTTGTCTTCCTCATCACGCACCAGGTCGATGCAGATTATATCATCTCGAACAACAGGAAGGTTTTTATCTGATGTGTTTAAAGTTTGGTTTACAGATTTATCTCTATCACTGTGGAAGTGGTTAACATCTGGCTTTCCCTGGCTCCTGAAATGTTCCTGGTCCTTAGACATGCCCTCTGGTTGTTCTTTGCTTTTAAGATTTGCAGAGGATGACACTGAAGGTGTAATCATTTTTTCAGAACTTTGATATGGATGCCCTCCATACAAGAGGCCATGTTTTGGTGTAATGTGTGATGGGTAAAAGCTATTACGGCCAAGTAACAGTGGATGGGGGTACAAAGGACCCTTACTTGGGATCAACATTTGATGAGCAGACATATTCTGTGCAACTGAGTATGGTATGTAATGACTACTGTAACCTAAACTAGGAGGAACATAAGAGTCCCCATAGATTTGTCTGGAGGTGTTTTCTGTTTGAGACTCTGGAGAAGAAGACTGTCTCTCTGGTGCCCTAGGTTTTGAAATAGTTGTACCCAGTTTTCCAGAAGAAGCTCCCTCTTTGACACTTCCTTTTTCATACTCAGCAGGAAGAATCCGAGGACGATCAGCTTTTAATTTTGGTAGATTTGCAGAAAGTTGTCCTCTTGAGGTATGACTGCTGCTATTGGTTGACTGACCAGTTGCAGACCCAGGTGAGTCTTGGGGCTTCTGCTGATGAGGAGTTCCATCAACTTTACTTCTGGTAGCAGTTTGGGAGCAAATGTTATAGTCTAAGGTAATAGGACCTAAAGTCACCCCCGTAGAAGGTGCAGTGCAGATTGTATCATTATTTGAGGTCTTGGTTGATAAGTTAAAGGATGGGGATTGTCCCTCCTTGAGGTGCTGGTCCTGATTGAGTAACTTGCAATCAGATGATGGTAAATACCCTAACTTGGTCAGTGCCTCAACCTTAGATGAATATGCTTTGAACTTTTTAGCAGAGTCTGTTTTTTCTCTGGAGTTTTTGGTGGCCTTCTGAGGTAAGGTTCTGTCCAGTAACATATTTGAAGAAGCTTCTATGTTACGACTGTTTGAACTGGCATCTTTGGTTTTGTTGCTGCTTGAGTGCATGGAAGAACTGTGCTGGGAGTTCATGTAGAAGGGGTGAGACGCAGAGGTGGCACTCTTGTAAAGAGGTTTCTGAAGATCTATAGAGACATTGCTGAGGGACTTCAGTGGGGGAACTGAGCATGCAGGCTGGGAAACTGAAGTAGAGTTAATGTGAGCACCACTGATAAGCGTAGTCTTTGTAGAACTTGTCTGACAAGTCTTTTCTCCTCTGCTGCCCACATGTCGCTCAGTATGGTTTAGAGCCTGGGGTTCTTGGTGGATCTGTGTACTGGAATTAAAGGCAGAAGGTTCTTGATGTAACCGTGGTCCAAGGCCTTGCAAGGCCTTGTCCTGACTACATGGCAATGGTGAAAGGACAACAGGAGCAGGATTGGCTGTGGACATTCTGATTTGAGGACCCAGTGAGGAGGCAATATTGGCCAGATTATAAGGAGGAACAAACAACAGTCTCTCGTTTCCAGCTGCAGGACTTCCTGTGGCACACAAAGACTGATATACCAGTTGCTGCTGGATGAAGGGTGATGACTGAGACAAGAAAGAGGCCTTATAAGCCATGTCCAGGAAAGGGTACATTGAAGCATCTCCATAAGGACTGATCCAGGGCACTCTTACAAAGTTACCAGTAGCATTCAAGCCCAGTTCTGACTGCTTGTCAACAGGTACAATGTGACTGTTCAATCCCATGCCATCACCTTCTGCAGCAGGAATAAGCAGAGGTTTCTGCAGACCTGCAGGTGGACTTTTATAAAGTTCAACACAACCATTTGCAGTTTTCTGGCCTTCCAGAAGGGGTCCATCTGGCTTGTACAGAAGGTCATAACCTAGTCGGACAGCAGTGCCAGGCTCTTGAGGTTTTTGTACAGACAGAGGGAGGATGCCAGGGTAGAAGATTCTCCCAGGGAGGCGGAGATTTTCTCCTACCAAAGAGTTTTGATCGATGCTGAGGGCTGCAAGTGGGTTCATTCTGTAAGCTGTGCTGGCATCTACCTGAAACATGGAAAGTCAAAGTAAGTTTTGCAGTCTTATAACCAATACAGGATTATTTACTGACAAAATGAAATTTGATCTTTTGACCAACTTAAAGATCACGACATCAAATGAAATACCCGAGTATACCAGCAAATAATCCACTTACAGCCCTGATCCACTTCTATTTTTTTTTTGATTGTCTTTTCAAGGAGGCACATTTTCCTGTACTATTTACTTTAATCAAGTGGACAAGATTTTTTGAACATTTTCTTTTGACTTTGCCAGAAAATTAGTGAAAATGTTCAAAGGAAAATTTTCAAAGACCTTCAGAAAGTCTGGAGAACTAGTAATCTAGACCATTATAAGCATCCAGAATGGTAGGAACTTTGGTGAAAAAGGGTTTTCTGTCAACTTGTTTGTGGAAATTATTTTAGATGATAACTAGGTCTGATTGGTGACGAAAATTGTGAAAGTTCACTTCAGTTGCAGTGAAAACTTGGAGCAGCTCTGATTGCTAAGAAGTGTGTAGATAGTTTTGGTAAGATTTAAAGACCACAACAAAGAATATACAGGAAGTGATTTATTCTGTGATATAGTTCAACTCATTAAGACTATCAACTGAAGAGAAGTGAAAAAACGTTATTACAATTCATCCACAATTTTTTGGTTTTGTCACGACTCAAACTTTTTCCCACAATTTTCAAGAAAAACCAAAACAAAATATACAAAAACTTGCAACTTACATCAACGTATACTTGCATCTTAATCAGGAACAGTGAGCTCTGACATTTGGTAACATAGAAAGTGATAATATCCAGCCCACTTTGGAATTCTACACCTCAAATAGACTTCACGGCAGAAATTACAATCCAAGTTTAAACAATTTGTAAAAAGTTTAATTTTACATGACTGAACTGGCGTATTCAGATCTCTGAAAGCTTTTACACAGTTAGTGTTTAGATTATATTTGAAGATTTTACTACAGATTGTTTGGCTTAGAATCTAATAATGTCACTATAACAAGCACCCTGCAGATGTTGGACGCTGTCTATCACGATGTGCTAAGATTCATAACTGGCTGTAACTACCGTATCCACCATTGCACCCTGTATTCACTGGTTAACTGGTCATCAATAATTTCACGTAGACGCTCCCACTGGTACATTTTCATCTTTAAATCACTTCTTGGTCTGTTGCCTTTTTACATCTCCTCCTACATGTCACTGTGTGAGTGCAGCTACAACGTGCGCTCTCGGGACATTATTACCTGCAGTGTTCCCTCAGTGCGAACTGAACTAGGTAAAAGGGTCTTCTTCTACTCCGCTCCCGTTTCCTGGAATATCTTACAAAAATATCTGAAGCTCTCTATCTTGACCTCTCTAAGTGGCTTCAAACATCTGCTAAGTTCAAGGCAAAAACCAAGGCAGACATACTCTTGTTTTTAGTTTTCTACATCCCTTTACAACCTAGCTGTTTTTAAGTATTTTGACACCATTTTCTTTTATTTGTTCTTCTCAATTTTTATGCTTTTTATTATTGTCTACTGTTGTCATCACTATTTGTTAAAATCAGGTCTCTCTTGCAAATGAGTCCCCGAGGGTCAATGGGATTAACTTGTATGAATAAAGGTTGAATGAATAACGTTCAGTTGTCTAAACATTCATGTGTGACCATTAAAACCTGCTGCTGCTCACAGGTTAAAACGTTCTTGAGGCGACTACATTTTCCCACTAGATTGTCTGAGGCTTACTTTTAACTGTTTCTGGCGTAAAGCGCTGCTGGATGCTGCCCCACCTCTTTCTGCTCCTTCAAAAAGGTGGGAATCACCGTGGCAACTGGTGTCTCAGCAGATTCTGACTTTTATACAATACCCAGCAAGCTTTTCGGGTTTCTACAATCATCATGATGTTCAGGAGGATTACATCAGGGTTGGCAGGATTCAGAATTTAAATTCAGGAAAAACAGAAAATGCAAACAGGAAGATGTTTGAACCTGGAGATACTCTTCAAAATAAGAGTCTGCCTCTCAGAATATTGCAAAGGAAACCCTGAATTCCTCTTGGGCTTAAGAGATAAATATTAATGGATGGTTCCAACATAGCTCCAACTTCAACATTTCTGCAGAAACTAGTTGTGTTTAACATTTTAATGACAGTTTCACAAAGACTTTCAAATATTTATAATCTGTGGGATTAAATCCATTTATCAGAGACAAATTTAAATAATAAAAAAAAATAGTTTTTTTTTTTTTTTTTTTAAGAATTTGAAAACATAAAACTTGTGTATTGTTTTCCTATCATGAGGAAAAAAACATATTTGTTTTCATTTATTTTCTCTTTGTTGGTATTCCTGCATGACAGTCAATGCCTGGAGCTACTCCTTCACTTTCCCTCCTCAGATCCAGAAAACAGAGGAGGAAGACGAGGGAGAGGAAGCATCACACACACAGTCAAGGAGGACAAGGGTGCAACCTAATTGAATTTCCTGTCACACAGCGTCGTGTGGCCTCTTTGATTGGCTAGCAGCCGCAGGGTCATTAGGAAATTATCCAGACAGTTGGGTGGCCGCATGAGAGGAGGAGGAGGATGAGGTGGAGGGTTTTCATCGTTCTGGTTGTAAAGTCAACATGAGGAGATAATTAATAAGAGTAAAAAGTGCAACTGAAAAAAAAAATTAATCTCCAAGTTTGAGATAACTCAAGAGCAGCAACAAATTATTTCAATCCATATATAAAACCAAAAAAAAAATAGAAGTAATTTGTTTAAAATTCTGCTTTTTATAAACAATAATCTGATAAAACAATCTGTTAGGAACCATAAAAAAATACAGGAAGGGCGAAAATACAGTACATCCAGTTTTACAGATGTTAAGATACTGTTTTGTGTGAATGAATGACTGTAAGAAACACAAAACTGGAATATGTCAGCAGATTTTATAGGTACTTAATTTTTTGCGTGACAGTAGCTGACAGTCATTCCAAACACATACTGTCCAAGTACAACAGATGAAAAATAGCCTTTTGCCTCAATATGGAACATTTACTTTTATCTAATCTTCAGTAATGTACACTGTCCCTGATAAACTAATAAACCAACTCTAAGCAGTAAGTGATCATGTGTAATGGTATTATAAAATTGACCAAAATGGCTGTCTTTTTTCCAACAAACAAATTATATGCATTCTTTCAAGCAATGCTATGTTTTTATTTTTTAGTGATTAACTTGAGTTTAACCTCAGATTCAGGTTTTACATTTTGTTTTCCCTTGAGTAAAAATAGCAGTATCATCTACATACACGAGGACAATAATATTTAGGAACACATATATTTAATTGTTTATATATGAAATATAAACTGAACTGGGCCAAAAGTGGAGTCTTGTGGAACTCCTAAAGGACAGTCATAGTGAACATATTTGATTTGAGCAAAGAATAGATTCCTTAGAAAACTAAAGTTTGATTAAAACACTATTTTGTGTTTAATCTTTTTTAAAGCAACATTTTGTGGATAATTTCAGTGGACATATTAGATGGTAAACTGTGCAGATTTTCTTCACATGATGTGACATTTGGTACATCCAAGTTTTTTTTTTTTTTTACATCAGTTACACTGAGACAAAAGTTTGTGGTAAAAACTGCACAACTACACAACATCTGTTAAGTGTACAGCCTCCCTATACGACTTTTGCATATTTGTATCCTCATACTTAATATGTTAGAGCATCTGTTTCCCATAAAAACAATCTTGAAAAGTAAGTTTCAAAAATGAGCTTCAGGTCTGTGGCAGAAACCTCAAAGGAGACAAAATTGCCAGTAGGTGGGACCCCCATGTTTAACCTCACCATGCTGTGGGCCGGTCTTTCTGTGGGTTCTGGAACCTCGTATACACCGATCAGCCCACCATTTCTGCAGGCAGAAAGAAACAACCACAAACAAATCAGAATCAAACAACACTGAAGTTTCTGAACATTTTTTATCCATATAAAAGATCCATGAATCCATGAAGCAAAAAACAATTTCTGAATACATTTTGTAAAGTGTAAAAAAAATAAAATAAAAATCAGAATCAGAATCAGAATGCTTTTATTATCCTTGCACAGTGAAGTACAACAAAACTACTTTCCGTACAGCCGTCCTAAAGATGGACAGAAGTGTACAGGGGGCTGCAGCTTCTACGATGCACTGCCCCTGTTGCTTAGATGAGAAAAAGGGGAGAAAGCATACGGAGAGAGGTATTAAAAAAAAGATCCCTCACAGTGTCATTGACAGGGCGTGGTTTGAGGCATCAAAAAAATCTACCACAGCAAAGCAACATAAATGGACATAATACATATGCGTATGGAGCGGGTAGGGGACGGGGGTCCCAGCACGGCTGCCAGGTGAGCGATGCAGCCCTTGCTGCCTTTGCATCTCCTAGGTTGCTGTGCCAGGGGAGGTGAGGGAGGCCAGTGGAGGTATAGAGTTTGAGGGAAGGTCGTAGCACAACACAGTCCAGAGCACCCAACCCCAGCCATAGTCCTGATAAGAGGGGTTTGTTTATCAGCCAGCTCGGTTGAGCTCTGTCACAGGTCCACAACCTTGGGGAAGGAAGGGGGAGGGGAAACAGTGTGTCTTTGTTTCCATAACATCCAAAAGAGAACTTTGAGATAGTCCGCCTTCCAAGGCCAGGTCCAGATTCAGATATCCCATTGTTTTGGGTCAGGCTAAACTTGTAAATTTCCGTGTCTGCCTTAACAATCTCGCTAGTACATTCTCTCATGGTGACTCCAAACAGCCAAATTTGATTACTTGCATCAAGTCGATCTTACAACTTCTCCAAGATTTATTCCTTCCAACCGCTTGTGGCCACTGCCAAAGTTCCACAGTCCTGATAAGGATCAGCCTGCTCAGCTTGACACAGCATCACATATAGTTCACACATATTCTGAGTGCTGCCAAGATCTGCACATTCTCCACAATTTATCGACAATCCAGATTTCCACCAACTCCAAAGAGTAAAATCCAGTTATCATAGATCCAATTGTTTCCGTTGAGGTAAGAGGCCATCCATCCATCCATCCATCCATTATCTTTTACCTGCTTCTTCCATTTTGGGTCACTGGGATCGCCAGTGCCCATGTACAGCAATCACTGTGCTAGGGGCAGGGTACACCCTGGATGGGTCGCAAGTCCATCACAGGGCCACATAGAGACAAACGAGACAAACAACCATTCACTCTCTCACTCACACCTAGAGACAATTTAGAGTAACCAATCAGCCTAACATGCATGTTTTTGGTCTGTGGGAGGAAACCGGAGTACCCCGAGAAAACCCACGCATGCACGTAGAGAACATGCAAACTCCACCCAGAAAGGCCCTTGGACCAAGATTTGAACCAGGGACCTGCTCACTGAGAGGCAGCAGCTCTACCAGTTGCGCCACCGTGCTGCGAGGTAAGAGGCCTGATGAGTAAAATTGATTGATTTCATTGAGATCGTTTCAGCTGATCAAATCCATGATTACAATTCAGAAGGTTTGCAAAAAAGGGACTCTGAAAAGGTTCACAAGACAAAGAGCAAAGCAGTGACGGCGCAAGGGATGGAGCAGAGGACAACGCGTCTGCCTTCCACCAAGCAAGAAAAAAATGCAATAATTTGCAATTCTCATAAAGCTTTTTTTATTGATAACAGAATAGTATTTTTTGAAGTAAAGATGGGCAGGGGTTCACTGGTCTAGAAAACTATTAAAATTGTGGAACAATAAGATTAATAAGAAAAATATTCATTCACAATTGTGAAGACTTTGAATATCTCATCAACTGCAGTTTAATGGAACATAGTGAACACGTTAAAACCGAGGCATGCTTTGATTTTTTTTTTGTTGTTGGGAAAATATGGTAATTTTGAATTAGATAACAGTAAAATATCTGTAAAGGGTTGTAAAGCCTCCACTCTTTTCTTGCAACAACAGTTTGCAAATCTAACAAGGTTGAGCAAGGTCCTCTGGACTGATTCTTCTGTGTTGAAAAGTTTTGTCTTTTATTCAAAGGGTTTCTTCAGTCTAAGGAGCTGCAACAAACAGTCTTATAGGCAGCATCTTCTCATAGATGATCAACCAGGTTGTTGGTGACAGCCAAGACTAGTTGTTCTCATACAAAAGGAGGACCATCAGCCTAACGACTGATCGTTAGTGTCTTGATGACCGCTTGCGTAGCAACCTGTTTTATGTGGTATTTAAAAATTTGACTTTCCTACAGTTTGCAATAAACTCTTATTACCTCAGTTGTTACCTTTCTTCTACAGTTTACATATCCAAATGTAAACATTTTGTCTAATATCTCTGTGTGTCTCTTTCTGCTATACGACTGTTAGTTTCTCTCAAATCCCCCCAGAGGTCAAAATGCACACACCCAAACTCCCGTTGACTTGCATTATATCGAAGCCCAGAATTTTCTCTTACAAACAGGAAGTGAAGGCTCATTTTAACGTCTTGTATTTCTTCCATAAAATATCGTAGAAACATCAAAACCTTCTAATTGTTTAGCAAGCTGCCATCAGGGCACTAACGATTGGTCATTAGACTGATGGTCTTGATTGTTTTGGCTGTCACCAGAAAACAGGTTGATCTGCTATGCAAAAGTGCTGCTTATAAGGTTGATGCCAGGGCTATGCCAGCAAATCTCACTGACCTGCACAAGGTGAGGTCAGTGAACAAGGGCCAGGCTGATTCTGGCAGATCCTGATCACCCACTCCATGGTGAGTTCAGGTTTCTTCCATCTGGACGCAGGTATTTGCTGCCCAGATGTAGGCTGAACAGACTGAAAAACTCAGTTCATCCCTGTAGTGATCGGGCTTCTCAACAAACAGTGATTATTTAATGTATTGTTATTTTAATGTCTCAATGTCTTGTCTAGTATGGATGTTTTGTGTGCCTACTGACTGTGAAACAAATTGCCCCTTGGGGATAATAAAGATTCTTGAACTTGAACTTGAGTTTGTTGACTGAAGAAGTCTTCTGGATAAAAGGCAAAACATTTCAACAAAGATTTATCTACCTGGATAATTGAGAATGCATCAGAATGGTTTGTAAACATTTAAGACCTGAGAGAATTAGTGGAGGTTTTTGGAAGTGAATGTTGTCCCATTCTTGTCTGATGGAAGAATTTAACTGTTCAATAGTCCGGGCTCTTCTTTAATGGACTTTTGTTGAATAGGAGCAGATGTTTCAAAACCTGTGCATACCGTTCTGCATTAATAGTGTCTTTACAGAAGTGTAAGCTGCACATGCTAGAGGCACCAATGTGCCGCCAAACCATCAGAAAGACAGGATTTTGAACCGAGTGCTGATGACAGGCTGGCTCATCCCTTTCCTCTTTAGTATGTATGGTCCTAAGTTTCAAAATGAACATCAGATTTGAATCGATCTTAGCGCAGAACAGTGTTCCACTTTGCCTCAGCTCATTTTAAATGAACTTTGGTTTGGCGAAGACAACGGCATTTCTGGATGCTATTCATATAGCTTCTTTTTGTGTGATAGAATATTAACTGGCATTTTTGGATGGCACAGTGAGCTGTGTTTACAGACAATAATTTGTGGAAGTGTTCCTAAACCCATGCAGTGATGTCCAGATTAGAATGAGACCCATTTTAATGCAGTATTCCCCGAGGGTCTGAAGAACACAACTACCCAATACTGACTTGTAGCCTTAACCTTTGAGCTCAAATATTTTTCCAGATTCTTTAAATCTTATACAGATATTATAAGCTATAGATTATAGGATATTTCAATTACAGCCAGATCGATATATTGGTAGGGCAGAAATTTTAGGCTGATATAGATGTTTGGGGACCTATCGTATCAGTGATAATTGTCCCACTATGCACCGTTATAAACACTTCTAATTTTCATGCCTATAATGCTGGGAACCAGCTGTAATTGTACAATGTATCCAGCAGAGGGTGCATGATGTCTGCTTTCAAGTCATGGCCGTTCACTTAAGTTTCACTTTCAGGGCAGACGAAGCAGGGAGCAACTGTGTGGCATATTTTGTAGAACAGAGCATGGTAAGTTTATGTTAAATGATCTGGCAAATTAAAAAAAATCAACAATAATAAATTATCTTCAATCCTCCAACCTGCTTGTCATAAGCGACGCGCCTCTCAAGTTAGCAAGCTAACATTAGTGTTCAGTTGCACCGCCTTCTTGACATTAGCCCCGTTGTCAGTAGTTATAGCAAACAGTCCTGTTGGATTGAGCTTCCAAACTGAAGACATCCTGTGTTAGTAACATTACCTTTGTCATCATAAATTAAATGCATTGTTTGTCTGAAATCTTTACATCTCTACGAAGAAAAAAACACTGCTGTGGTCAATACTAATTAGGCGTTCACCATACGTGACTGACTGTAAAGAATGAATAGGGAAGGGTGTTTCTTTATTTAATGTATATTTTTGTAACAGACTTACTTTATGGTGAATTGTGGAGAATAGAAAATGTGAATGCACGTTAGGAAGACTGTTTTTATGAGCCGTGCACCACTTCTAAACCTACTGTGGGACTACGTATAGCATGGATCTGATTTGCTTAGCTTCATGGTTGCTAACAGCTGTACTAAATAAACCAACCCCGCTCCATTCGCTGCTTTCTAAAGTTCATGGGGGTGGACAGAGCTAAAAAGATTTCAGCCATTATATCGGTTATTGGCAACTGCCTGACCCTCCCAATATCAGTATCAGCAATAACCAAAATTTCTGTATCGGTCAGGCTCTAATTTAAAGTCCAGCAATTTTCTGTTGAGGAATATAATTCTGGAATTGTGTCACTTTTCTTAGACAGTTTTTCAGACTAGTGAACCACATTTACTTTTGAGAGATTCAGCCTTTTTATACCCAGTCCTTTTACGGACCTGTTAGCAATTAACCTTTA